AGGAGACTCGCTTGAGCCCAGGAGTTGGAGGTTGCTGTGAGCTGTGATGCTACAGCACTCTACCCAGGGGGACAGCTTGAGGCTCTGTCTCAAAAAGAAGAAAAGAAAAGAAAAGAAAAAGTAAAAATCTAACATAAAAATTACAATAACAAGAAAACCTCTAAAATCAACTTGGAATTCCAAGGAGCATACACCAAAGAAAAAGCTTTGCTTCCCCCATCCAATGATTAGCAAATGACTTCAGTTTGTTATGTCTTATAAAATGCTCAGGGTATGTGTTTACTATTTTTATGATTTTTCTGCTATAATCAACACTTAAAACTAACTCTAGTTGAGATCATGTAAGATAAAAGAGTTGCTTCCATACTTCAATTTCTAAGAAATAGCAGTGAAAAGGTAACAGAGCATATATACTGTAATTCTAAAAATGTACAAAAATTAAATATTCATTATCTGTATATACCTATATTTGTATCTATACATACATATATGTGTATATATATGTAAATTCCCTAAAAAAAAACTCAAAAGGATTCACATAAAATTATTGGTAAATGGTTATTTCTGGCAAGAGGAGTAGGATGGGCTGGTTAAGAGGGTCTCATATTTTATATATGAATTGTTTAAAAATTTTATAAGAATGTATTTATATATCACTTGTATAATTATTTTAAATGTTATTCCGATACAATGCTGTCTAAAATTGAAGATGCATGGGCAGTGCCTGTGGCTTAGTGGGTAGGGCGCCGGCCCCATATACTGAGTGTGGTAGATTCTAACCCGGCCCCAGCCAAACTGCAACAAAAAAATAGCTGGGAATTGTGGCTGGTGCCTGTAGTTCCAGCTACTCGGCAGGCTGAGGAAAGACAATGGCCTACGCCCAGGAGTTGGAGGTTGCTATGAGCTGTGACACCATGGCACTCTACCAAGGGCGATAAAGTGAGACTCTGTCTCTAATAAAAAACAAAGAAAAAAAAAATGAAAATAAAATTGGAGATGAAAACACAAATAGTTTCAAAGGAACATTGCACTGGGGTGACTCTCTCATGTTCATTCCCCACAGATGACTACAGAGACATCTCTACTGTGTACAGCTGATAGCCTCAGACAGGAGAAAAAGGTGTCACAATTTCTACTTCCTAAGAAACAAAGCTGTGATCCCCTTCTTCCTAAAAGGAAAATAACTCTGATTTTGGCATGTTAAAGTCTCAATACCCTACACAGTGGATTTCACTCTTACCCCCAAATCTTTAAGGTTTTAAGCAAGTGTTTATATGGCCATTCAAACAAACAGAGAGGTCCTGGGGGTTGGAGGGCAGAAGCAGCAGCTGGGTGCAATCATTCAACACAGAAAGCTCAACAGTTCCTCATGCCATGCAGTAACAAGTCCATCCATTCCTCCATCCATGTGCCCACTCATTCATCCCTCCATCCGTCTATCCAGTCATCCATTCATCCCTCTATTCATCCATCCCTCTTCCATCCATTCATGCATCCCTCCATCCATCTACTCATCCTTCCATTTCATCTATTCACTGATCTGTTCATCTCCCCATCCACCCATTCAAGTACTGACTGAGCTCCTGTGCTGAGAATCTAGCACAAGACCCCAGAGAAAAAATCTAAGACTTGGAAAGCCTAGCCAGAGAGACAAGACCCCAGGAAGAAAGCTTTCATGCCCAAGCACTCCCTTTCTGCCTAGAGGGATAATTCAAAGAGGATCAGAGTTTCCATACAACAACATGTTCTATTGAGACAGGATTTTTCAACCACTCTAACTCAGGTGAAATATACAAAAACAAATGCCACAGCAGTTTTGTCTTGTGTGTGTGTGTATGTGTTTTTTTAAGAGACAGGGTCTTACTCTGTTGCCCAGGCTTGGTCTCAAACTCCTGGGCTCAAGGGATCCCCAGACAGCCTCCTGAGTAGCTGGGTTACAGGCACCTGCCACAGCAGCTTATTAATGGTGTTGGTGTAGGGCTGAAGGAGAAGCAATCAGGAGGAACATTTCAAAAGAACAGTAATTAAGCATGGAGTCGATTCTTAAACAGTTTCCTCCAAGGAAGTGCTCTGAAAACAAATGGACTTTTCCACTCATGGCTTTTTGTTCCATCTCCCCCAAAACAAAACAGTAGTAGGCAAGATTTAAACAGCTGGTGGAGCTGTGTCATGTGGCACCTGTGTTTACAATAATCATTATTTTCCGTTAAACTGCTATTTTGTGACTTCCTTTTTTTCCCCCTTCAATGAAAATGAGTAAACCCTTTTTCATTACTTAGGTAACCATTCTCAGATTACGATCCTTTTTCTGACTAGCCTGATGCTGGGGCACTGTACAAGGTAAACAACCATCTTGACGCTCACAGGCAAAAAGATTCTCAGGCTTGGCAACAGTCCAATGATGTGGTCCCTACCTCCCCATCCTCACACCAACCTGGAAGCCAAAAAAGACAAGACAAGTCTTCCTCAGCCCAAAAGGGTTTAAAGAGGTACTCTCAATGGAAGAACCCCATTCTGTTCTCTAATTGAATGGAACAACACAGAGGTCCTATCTGAACCCTTCTTTGTTTTTAACAGACAGATAACAAAGCAACCCTCCATGTGTCTGGGGTATGGCTTTCCTTTCTGGTATGAAATTTATCTTCTTCTCTGCAAAGCCACTTGGTAAATCTAATAAGCACATGCTGAATTTCTCTACCTCTAGATCTGTGAACGATATAATAAGATTTTAGTTTAGACCTTTTCTCAATTCATTTACTCCTTAATTTAATTTTATAATTCTATAATTAAGAAGAGATTCACAGTTAAGTGAAAGGGGTCTGTGTGAGAAGTGGAGAACAATTAGTTAAATACGCTAATTACTTTTGATCTGAAATAAAAAAGGAGTCTTCTGTGGGCACCTAACTTTTTCCCAACTCTATTTCTCCTGTACAGATTTTTTGTTTGTTTTCAAAAGTCAAAAGTCAAATTCTGCTGATGAAAGGAAGGACACATAAATTTTTTTTTATAACATACAATTTTTATATCTCTTACAATGTTTTTTTTTTTTTTTGGCTGGGGCTGGGTTTGAACTTTCCACCTCCAGCATATGGGGCTGGCGCCCTACCCTTTTGAGCCACAGGCGCCACCCAGGACACATAAATTGACAGAATAAAATAAAAGGTCCAGAAATAAACCCATAGTAGTCAACTATCTTTGACAGGGTGTGAAAGCAACTCAATGGTAGAAGGGCCGTCTGTACAAACAGTGGTACCGGAACAACTCAACAGCCAGGAGCAAGAAAATGGACTTCAGCCCAAACTTCACATCATATACAAAAGTTAACTCAAAGTGGGTCATAAATTTAAATGTAAACTGTAAAACATCTCTCTGATTTGGCAAGGATGTCTTAAATGCCTTATTTGTACTGAAAGCATGAACTATAAAGGGAAATAATGGCAGACTGTACTTCATCCAAGCTGGAGACCTTTGCACTGTGGACGACACTAAGTGAATGAAAAGACCACAGACAGGCAGAAATATTTGCTAATCACTATCTGACAGAAGACTTGTCATCAGAAAATACAAAGAATTCCATCCTAGAGGGCATCCAACCGCAACCCATGGCTGCTTTGAATGTTTTCTGTGGCGGTGGTGGTGGACATCACGAAAATTATGCAGGGACTTTTTTTTTTTTTTTGAGACAGTCTCACTTTGTCATCCTTGGTAGAGTACCATGGCATCACAGCTCACAGCAACCTCCAGCTCTTAGGCTTAGATGATTCTCTTGCTTCAGCCTCCCAAGTAGCTGGGACTACAGGCGCCTGCCACAATGCCCGGCTGTTTTTTGTTGCAGTTTGGCTGGGGCCGGGTTTGAACCCACCACCCTCGGTATATGGGGCCGGCACCCTACTCACTGAACCACAGGTACCGCCTGACCTTTTTTATTGTGCTCATCAGCTTTCATTAGTTTTGTGTATCTAACATGTAGCCCAAGACAAGTCTTCGATAATCATTCATAGCCAGCCCCAGGCTGTAGTTGGACATCCCTTTAAATGCAATAAATAATTAGAAAATGGGCAAATAAACACAAGAAAGACATTCAGCATGATCAGTCATCAGGGAAATGCAAATCAAAATCACCATGGGCACACTTCACGCACACAGGATGGTTCAGAACAAACTGAAAATAGCAGGTACTGCTGAGTGTGAAGAGCAACTGGAATTCTTGCTCTGGAAAACAGTCGGCAACTTGTCATAAAGTTAGACACAGATACTCCCCACCTCCTCAAGAGGACCAATCCAGGTGACACACTAGAACCTGGAGGCCAAAAACTGGTTGCTCATTCACAAACACAATAACAACCAGTGTTCTCATATGGAGGATGGGTAAGTGGCCTGTGGGATGTTGACATGAGACAGCACTTGATGACATGGAACCTTGCATGTACACCTCTGGCAGGTGGAAGACTCCCTCTAAAGGCTGAGGGCTGTGATGGCACATGAAAAGCTTGAGGCAAAAGGCACAAGGACTGGGAACAGAGAGCAGCTCAGTGGTTGCCTGGGGCTGGGCAATGGGGGAGGGACTTTCAGGGCTAGGGTACATCCCATGTATCAGTTAAAACTCATAGAACTGCATAAGGAAGGAGTCAGTCTACACAGATGGTTCTAGCCATTTGATGATACTCCGGGGAAGGCCGGGCAGAGGCAAGACACTCTTGCTAAAGGACATATTTGCTAATACCCACAGAATGTGCACCACAAATGGTGAGCCCTTATGGGAACTGTGCACTTTGGGTGACAAAGATGTGCTGATGGAGGTTTGTGGATTGTAACAAATGCAACATGCTAATTTAAGACGTTAATCACAAGGGAGGCAGTGGGGAGGGGGAGACGTGGGACCTCTGTACTCTCTATAGACTTCTTCTGTAACCCTAAAACCACTCTAAAAAACAAAATCTATTTTTAAAAAATCAAATTCATAGAATTACACACTAAAAACAGAAAAATTAGCCAGGCATAGTGGTGTACACCTATCGTCCCAGCTACCTGGAAGGCTGAGGTAGGAGGATCACTTGAGCCCAGGAGTTGGAAGCTACAGTGAGTTATGATGACTGCACTCTAGCCTGGGTAACAGAGCAAGATTCTGTCTCTTAAAAAGGAAAAAAAAAAAAAAAAGAAAGAAGAAAAGAAAAGACCTTGGCCTAAAAGCCATCACCTCAAAAAAGCCTTTCTCAGACATATAAGGCAGGCTCCCTTCTATCACTTGCAGTATCCATGACCCATCCATTTCATTGTAACCCCTGCACAAGGTTATTCAGTGTCCACACATGCAAATATATGCACATATGCATGGAAAAGACCTGTCAATGGACCTGCCTCAGCTGCCATGCCACGGCTCTCTCACCACTGCATCCCTGCACCCATTCTTGTGCCAGGCATGTAGAGGTACTCAGATATTTCTAGAACTAATGAGCACATGACTCAGAAATCTTTCTGCCTCTTCTCTCTCCATGGTTACAGACAGAAAGCTTTCTGCCAAGCTATCACAACACCTTGTTAACATTGTGTTGTTTCAAACCTTTTCCAGGTGTCCTTGCACCTCTTTAAAGGACAATAACGTAACAGGTTGAGTCACCAGGGCCTGGAGAACCATGCAAGGCCCCTAAGATCCTACAGTAAATGCAAATGCAATGAGCCACAGTAACCCCCAAGCATAGCTGGGCCCCCTCTTCCTGGTAGCCTTGGACTACCCCATACCTGCTCTGGGAAGCCTTGTTTATTTTTGGAAGGGTATTTATGTTCTCTGGTGACCATGGTCAGTCACAGCTCTTTCCCCTGGCAGTGACATATACAGGTTAAGTACTGTCAGGTCTGGCTCCAAGCTGGTGGCAATTTACATAAGCAAAGCCTTAAAATCACATCCAACACCTGTTGTGCCAGTACTAGAGGGGAAAGTGTGCAAATAGCCCCCTGCTGGTGCTCACACCTGGGTGGGGGGTGGCAGGTCATGTGATACTGAGCCTGTAGGGGAGCGGATGAGGGGAAAAGTGATGTCCTGTAGAAAGAGTAGAGGCCAGCAAGCACTGTTCCAGGCATATCTTCAACAATGTTCTGTCGTGGTGGGTGGTACATCCACTACAAGGAGCCCTTCACCGAGGAGAGGTAGCAGAGGCCCTGGGAAGAGTTGAAATAGCCAAAGAGAGAATGTGGAGACAGAACTGGCTGAGTAAGACAGCACTGAGATGGCTCAGCAGTGAGGCTATGCAGTAACAGAGTGCAGATATCTCAAGGAGCCTGCAGCACAACTCAGGAGACCGTCAAAGCCAAGAAGGGCTCAAAAGCTATTTGAGCTGCCTGTGCCACCAAAAAATGTGACTAGCCAGGTAGGACATTTTTACCCTCACATTCCCAATATAGGGAATCCCTAGAGGAGGGCTGAGCAGGTGTTGCCTCAACAGTTGGGGGCCCAAACCTGTGTGTTCAGGAGAGCACGTGAGTCTGAAGAGGCAGGGGTGTGAGAGAACAGGCACAGAAGCAACAGTGCCCAAGAAGGCAGGGACAGTCATCAGGAGTGGCTCAAGAGGATGCAAGAAAAATGCCATCGGAAGGAGAGGCTTTCTAGAAGTAAGGGAACCAACGTCCAGACACACACAAAAGGTAAAGAAAAAGAGCACCAGAAAGAAGGAGCCAGGGCTGTCCTAAGACCACAACCCAGCCAGGAAGGCCTGAGGAGCAGCAGAGCCATCTGTCCCTAGGGTAGGGGTGGTCTGAGCATAGTCACTGCTCCCCCAGGCTCAGCACCTTTCATTGGGACCGAACATGTAACTAAGTACATACTAAGTTTTAACTCTAAGGGTCTTCATTGAGAAAAAGGAAGAAAACTGCACACATTTCAACATTTGTATTTCAGAGATTAAATGCAAACTTCCTAAAGAAGTGATGTTTCACAACAAAACTGTGACTTACCCAACCTGAATGAGTTCGTTCAACTTCGTCGCATTCTTGTCATCCATACCTTCAAATGGAAAAATAAATGAGACCATAAGATAAGAACGAAACCATTAAAGATCCCCATTCAATAGAGATTCTAAATCCTATTACCAAATATTAAAGGTCTTCCAGAATCAAACCCCTACCAGAGCTACAGCTCTTGCCCCAATTCACACCAGTGAGTCCACTCCCTATGGCACCTCTGATCACCTGGGAGGTGTCCACATGTCCAGCTGCTCTCACAGACACACTGCATGGCTGCACAGTCAGCTGACATCTCTTCCTAGACCTGCAGCCACTCTGAACTTTTACTTGACCCTAACTTGCCTGCTTTGGATAAGCACGCTTTCTGATGGGCTCTGTACCTGACCATGACCTTGTGTTGACACTTAGGCACCCAGCCTCCAGGTCCGCCAAATGACAAACCTGACAGACTCCATGTTCCCAGAGATGTCCCATTTCCTCTGACCTTGTAATTTAACACTAGCCCCAGGTGTGCAGGAAAGTGGCATGGTAAAGTTAATGGAGCATTTAGTTGGTGGGCATTGGGTGCTTATTGTAAAACTCTTTGAATTCTTCTGTATGTTTTTTTTTGGGGGGGGGACCCCCCACACACAACCAGGCTGAAAACCAAAACATATAAACTCAACACCAGCCAGAAACAAATAACACATCTCACACAGAGGAGCAAGGACATAGAGGACGACCACTGACCCTTACCAGAAACAGCACAGACCAGAGATAGTAGACAACAGCTTAAAAGGGAAGAAAGGAAGAACCAGTAAAGTCAGAATTCTACACCTTTAGCATCTTTATTACAAAGATGAAATAAAGACTTTTCAGATAAACAATAACAGAACTCACAGTGGTATGATGAGAAAAAAGGACACTTCTCAGAATGAAGAGAAATGCCAGGTGAAAACAGATCTTCAGGAAAGAACAAAAACCACTGGGAAGAGCAAAGATGTGGACATGCTCATTAAAAAAGGGATGCAGCCCAGCCCAGTGTTGCTTTTAGTTGAATCCTGCCTGATCCCTCATTACCAGCTTCCAGGCTCCAGGCCCCAACCTGGACAGGTTCCTGAGTGGGAACCAACCTTTGGACAGAACTTCTGTACAAGACAAAAAGAACCAGGGAGCCAGCCTTCAAATTGGCTAGGTGTGGTGCTGCAGAACTGCTGTGCACCACCTTGCCCCAGCCAGGCTAAAGAGTTGGAGCCTATCTCTTGCTGAACACATCATTTATCTCCATCAGGTCCTCTTTTAACCGGGAATAACACCAGCCAAGGTAGATAACACCAGTGTAAAACCAGAGACAATGCCATAGGTATAAGAGACCCAAGAACAGAGCAGAGACTTGGCCTGCTGATTCAGGACTCAAGTTTGTCTGGAGACTTTAGACAGGACAAGCCACACTCATTAAAAGCACATTCTAATCACTGAGCTCTTAATATACTTCTGAATGGCCCAGAACAAGCAGCCAATGTGCAGGCACTGGAAACAATCAACAGGTCTAGTGTGCACCTTCCCTGAAAGAGACATGAGATCACACAGCAGGCAAAGCAAGGACACCAAAGAGCCCAGCATGTGACTATGTGGTCAGTGAGGGTGAGTGGTGGGTGGAGGTTTAAAGGGGAAACCCCCAGTGGGGTAAAGAGTTAAGGTGACAGCTTTGGTGCTGAGAGCCCTGTGTGAGCTTCAAGTGAGCGTGCATTTGAGTGTGATGTAAAGCTGGGCCAAGAGGGACCAGTCAGCGTTCTCACTGGGACTGAGCCACAACAGGAGCCTACTGTGACCAAGGGGACACACAGTAGAGGAGTGAGGTGTGGCCAGAAAGATGGACCCAAGGCCTGTGTGCAGGCCCTTGGTTAGGCAGCTCTGTGATACTCTGGAGGAAAGAGAGCCCAAGGTTCCAGAGAAGGGAACAGACAAGAAGATGAGTCCACAGACTTGGGTGAGTCAAAGACAGCTGAAAGGGCTGGGGCACTGTGGCCATGACAGAGTAATACCCCATGAGCTGCCATGAACAGACACCACTTAGGGGAAAGAGAGAGAAGGACAGAGCAGAGATCAGAAAGACAAAGGGTCTGACAGTCCTACTCCAACCCAGTGAGGTGTGCAGGGAAGAAGGGGGTGGGACGAGTGGACTTGGGACAGTGGGGCAGGACCCTGGGACTGGAGCTGAGATTAGCAAGAATGGCCAGGATGTGAGGGCAGGGACAGGGATAAGGCTCTTGGCATCCTTGGTCAGGTGGGCAGTCCACAGGAGCAGAGATGGTGACACAAATCCTCCACTTACAAGTCGCACTGAAGCTGCAGAACTGGGTGAGGCCATTCAGACAAGAACCAAGATACAGAAGCAAGAAGGGCCAAGGATAAGCATCATCATACAGGTATGTCTACAGTGGGCAAAGCAAGAGATATAAAAGCCATGTGAGAAGAGGCTTCAGGGCTGAGGTTCAGGCCTTTCCCAGTGGGAGAAATGCCAACTGGCAGGGGATGAAAGGCAGGCCACACAAAACAGACACCCATGAAGCTTCTGTGGAGGGAACTAGGATCAATGAAGGCACATGGTGAAGACTAGCTTTTCCTTTTCTTCTTTCTGGAAGATAAAAGCTAAGAGAGCCACAGCATCGGTTCTGGGACTTAGGTGCTTTCACAAGCAAAGCAGGGCCAACAGCCAGAGCTGGGTGGACAGGAGACGCAGGAGTGGGTAAAGAGCCAGGATAGCAGGCTCATGAGCTAGTCTCTGGTTCCCTTGGCTAGGATGGGGCCAACACAGTAGCTCAGTGTGGAGAGGCTGGCTAGGAGGGAGAAGGAACATCAGGGTGCATAGGGGACAGACATGGCAAGAAGGCAGCGACTAGCAAACATAGATGCCATCTGGCTCACAATGGCCACCCACTAGGAGTGACAAGAAAACATGAGAGACAGCAGGGGCCAGAGAGGGTGACTGGTTAACACCCACCCTCCCTAGCCTGCCACCTGCCCTAAGCTGACTGAATGTGGTGACAGTATGTTTCATTTAACCTTTGAAGCAGCCTGTGGTATGCACCCCTATAATACCCCTCCTATGTGGGTGAGATAACGTCTGGGGTCACATAGCCAGGCACAGGCAGCTGGGAAGACCAGAGTGTCCCTATCTAATGTTGGTGTCAAAAACATCTAAAGGGAACCTGGTCACGAAGAGACCACCAGAGCAAATGCAAAGTGAGGGCACTTTGTAAAGGAGCACTGGACTCCTTACCAACGTGGTGGGAGACCATGCAGTGTAGTCTCCTCAAGGTCAGAGAGACTCAGAGAGACCCACAATCATAAGCAGGAGCACAGCCCCGGCACAGGAGCCAGACTGAGGGTTGGGCATGTTTTGGGAAATCTGAACAAAGCAGGTCACATAGATTGCTGGGCCTGTCTCTGTTCAGCATTCTGGGTGTGATGGGCAATGGTGGCTGTGCAGGAGACATCCAGACTCCCAAGTGAGGTGGTCTGATGCCTTACAGTCAAATGGTGGAGTGTGTGAGCACTTGTGCGACTGGGCATGTGCATGTGTGCATGTGTGCGTGTGTGTATGAGACAGGGTGCGCACACATGTGCTCGAGAGCTTGTGTGTGCACAGAGAGTGGGGAAGATAAAAAGCAAGCAGGACAAAGAAACTGACTGGTGGTCTCAGTGAAAGTGTGTGGTGCTCATCACATTCTTCAATTTTTCTGTTACTAGAACATTTTCAAGATAAAAGAGGGAAAACAAAGTGTTCCTGGGCACTAAGGCTCTAAGGTGACAAGAACAGCAGGGCCCTGAGGGGTATAAAAGGTGACTACACAGCGGTGCGTACTCACAGCCCCCAATTTTCTTGCGTAGCTCGCCATAGCAGATGAGGCCATACAGCTCCTGAGAAGACTTCTTCAACCCTCGTGAGAACACTGGGAGATGAGAAAAGTGACACTTTAGGAAGGAGAAATATGAGAAATACAAACATCCCAGGATAACACAGCCCGGAGCACAAAATTGACCCGAGGGCCCAAGCTAACCTTGTGGTTTTTATCACTGCACTTTGGCCTCAAAGCTGTTAACCTCAGGAAATGCTAAATAGAGAACATACAGAACACAGTGCTATTTTTGCAATATTCAAAATAAAAAGTTAAACAAAAACAAGGGGAAAATAGTTAGAAGATTACCCCTAACAGGCAGAGCAAATGTTCCCTAGAGGAAAAAGTAGAATGCTTAGCCAGACAGTTCTCAGGGAGGAGGTGGAGGCAGTGGATGTGAACAGCACCAAATCTGCTCTTCATCCATCTCTGCACACACAGGGTACACCCAACTGCCACCAGCAGAGGCAGCCATGGAACCAGAAAGCTGTAAGCCCACCACACCTGTGCCTGCCCTAAAAGGGGGCTACACATCACAGAGCCAGGGGCCAGGCAGGAAAAGGAACAGGGGCACAGATACTCATAATGCCTGAGGTTCACTACCCATCCTGTTTAGCAGCAGCCTGTTGTACCTGGGAGGTAAACAGGCCAGGACACCTATGGCTGGACATGGCTGCACACCACACTCTGGCTTCTGATGTGACCAGAGCACCATGTGCTGCAGGAGCTCCTGCAGGAGACTGATCTGGGCGGAAATGTGCCCCCTTGCCTAGGTTCTTTCCTCAGGAGCTGATGCTGGAGCTTTCCTGGACATAGCAATGCACTAGGGATGGCTGAGCAGAGGGCTGAGAGGGGCCTGGGACCTGCCCACCCTGGATGTTGCCTCTAAACATCACTGATGAGATAAAGTATAAAGCCTTATGTGCTTAGGCCACTGCAATTTTGACTTTATTTATTATATGAAGCTGAACCTCATCCTGATATGAAAGGTAAGGTATAGAGTCTAGCACCTCTGGGTCATCTCAAGGAACAAGGACAAAGGTCACTTGTTCTACTCTCTGGCCCAAAAGCACTGTCTGGTTATCTCCTCAGAAACCTCTTTTTAATTTGGCTGTGTTTATAATAACAAGAAAGGAAAAATAAATACACTAGTAAAGGGAGAAAAAGATTTTGAAGACCTAAAATATAGCTTCTGGACCTTGGATCAGGCCAAAGAATCTATGACACTGCTAACACCATAGGCTAGCTGTCGGCAAAGCCTTCCTGAGACCCAAGAACTCACCAGACTCTCAAATGCAACCACGATTCAGGGAATGTTAGGATTCACCATTCACTGGGTAACCAAAATGTGGTCTACCCATGCAATAGAGTGTGACTCAGCTGTGAAAAGGATCAAAGTTCTGAAGCATGCTATAACATGGGTGAACTTTACAAATACTATATTCAGTGAAAGAAACCAGACACAAAGGGGCACACGTGGCATAATTCCATTTACATGACATGTCCAGAATAGAGAAACCCACAGAGACAGAAAATAGACTGGAGGAATGCAGGGCTGGAGGCATAGTGTTTCCTTTCAGGATGATGAAAATATTCTGGAACTAGATAGTACTGATGGCTGCAACACCCTGTAAATCTACTAAAAAATCACTAAATTGTACACTTTAGAGCAGCAGTTCTCAACCTGTGGGTTGCAACCCACAGGAACTGTAGAGGGCCACGACATTAGGAAGGTTGAGAACCATTGCTTTAGAGGATAGATTTTATGGTATGTGAATTATATTTCAATTAACAAAATATTTTGGGAGGAGGCCTAGATAGGAGGATTACTTGAGGTCAGGAATTTGAGACCAGCCTGGACAACATAGAGAGACTCTGTCTCTACAAAAAATAAAAAAATTAGCTGGGCGTGTGGCAGATGCCTATAGTCCCAGCTAGTCAGGAAGCTGAGGCAGGAGGATTACTTGAACCCAGGAGCTGGAAGTTGCTGTGAGCTAGCTATGATGCCACAGCACTCTAGACTGGGCAACAGAGTAAGACTCTATGTTAAAACAAAAATTTTAAATCTTGGCTTGGCACCTGTGGCTCAAGTTGCTAAGATGCCAGCCACATACACCTGAGCTGGCGGGTTCGAATCCAGCCCAGGCCCACCAAACAACAATGACGGCTGCAACCAAAAATAGCCGGGCGTTGTGGCGGGCGCCTGTGGTCCCAGCTACTTGGGAGGCAGAGGCAGGAGAATCACTTGAGCCCAGGAGTTGGAGGTTGCTGTGAGCTGTGATGCCATGGCACTCTACCCAGGGCAATAGCTTGAGGCTCTGTCTTTAAAAAAGAAAGAAAAAAAAATTTAAATCTTATTATTTAAAATGGCAAAAAGGAAAAAATTCCATAATTCAGAAAGAGAGAAGTAAATAATGTCAAGAACAAGAAAGCATAGAAAAGTGACAAAGAAAGAGGGGCAAAAGGTCAGAGAGGAGTGGCACTTCCAGGGCAAAGCATGGTTCCAAGGGGCAGCCAAAAGGGGCTTCCTTGGTGCAGCTCTTGCCTGTTTTGTTACAGATGTGGGAGGAACAAAGCTCACCTTGTCCGAACGTTGAGTCTGTGGGAACACAGCCTATACCTGACAAGAGATACCAGCAGGGACGTGGATGTACGTAGCTATCACCCTCTGTGACACTAGCATTTTGGAAACCACATAGGATTAACAGAGTAACCAGACCCCAGACTGAGGCACACAGAAGGCCTCAGTGAAAGAGGAAAAATGTGTTTTCACTCTGCTCAATGAGTCAGACAAACACAGCTCACTGCAGACGGCGCCTTCCAACCAAGTCAAGAGCACCACTACAAGTACCCATGATGTGCAAAACCTATTGTCACCCTGCAAGATGTAAGGAACCCTGGCACCTCCGTGTCCTGGTAACCTCCAGCCCCAGGGAGAAACCAGCTGTAAAAGGTCTGACCGTACCAAGGGCCCAAGCAAGTATGCACCAACAGAGGCATCCCATGGCTAAGAGATAACTGTAACCCATAAGAGAACCCAGGAGAGCTGTGCCTCCACAAAAAGAAGGCATGTCACATAGGCCCACACCAAAATGCAGTTAGGAGACACCAGGACTGTGGGCACTGGCCGTGCCAGGTACAGACCCACAAAGAGAGGGGGAAAGCTCAGGTCACACACACAGTGGCCATGTGGAAGCTGCCAGTTTTCATCCCTAATTGGAGGAGAGGGCTGAAGAGGAATGACACTGCCAGGCACCAGAGGGAGTGTGGGATTAGGAGGCTGCTCAGCTGGGAAAGGTGACAAAAAGACAGAAGAAACATTTGCTTTAAGTGCCTTCTGAAACTGACACAAGTAGCAGCCCAGGGTTGGCAGACCCTGAGAACTGCAATGAGCCTCAGAGAATATGAGATGGGCTATACTGGGACCCTGGGCATCCCCAAAGCACTACTACCTGGCAGTAGGCAGGAAAGCAGAAGAGCACACTGATGGAAGCTTGTGCAATCCCATTCCTGTGTTGACACTATCTACCAAATAGCCTCCCAACCACTCTACAAATCACTGGCCACTTTCTCACTTCAAAATAGCTTTTGAGACCAGCCAAAGTGGACAGCAGACATGGCAGGAGCGGCTGGGACCCAAGGCTCCAAGTAGGATCGAGGGTATAGACAAAGGCTCGAGAAAGAGCAGCATGGCCCAGCTGCCCCAGGCAGTGTGTGAGTGGTAAGGAGAAGGGTTTGGGAAGTGGAGGCACCAGGAGAAACTAGTGTACAAAGTGCTGCGGAGGTGAAGAGCAGGACTAAGCAGGGGGACAGTGAGGATAGTTCTCCTGACACATGGAGATGGCGGGTGGCCAAATCTCCAGGAGACAAGAGACCATGATGAACAAAGTACCACCTTCAGGAGCCACCAGAGCTGCTCAAAGGGTGCTATGGGAGAGAAGCATGCCCAGAGGTGACCTAACCTGCAGGATCTGGATTCAAACACAGATAGGCAGAGCTTAGGAGAGCTGACCACATGCCCAGGCCAGTCAGCATCAGCCCTGCTCAACACCCACCCCCATTGGTTCCCCACTCAGAAGAGGGCTAGGACAGCGCTTGCAGCCTGAACCCTGGCTAGACCCCAAGGGCCCTCACTGACAGTGGGAGACAAGATGAGAGGTAAGCCAGGGATCCCTCACATGCCATCACAAATACTTAGAATGTAACTCAGAAAAGCAATGCTAGAACCTTGAAGCATGGGACACAGGTAGCTTCCTCTGAATGCAAGCTGACCAAGAATTACCAGGAATGCCACCAGCTGAAGCACAAGGCAAAGAAATCCTGAGCTGAACAGCTGGGCAATAAAATGCCAAAAAGCAGGTCCCGTGCCAGCTCACCGTGGTCAAAGTCGATGTACTTGGTGATCTTGTGCCAGGTGCGGTAGTAGAAGTGGCGCACCTGCTCCTTGTTCTTCACCATGCTTGCAGGTTTGCCTTTCTTCCTGTACTTCAGGGCGATGTTGTTCTGGATTGCTTCAAAGTCTTTCCCATGCTAGAAAATTAAGTCCAGGTAAAAAGCACAATGGTTAAAATAATGCAACCTTCTGTGGAAGCAGACACTTCCCAAGAAGGGAGGACAGGGCCCAGCATAGCAAGCAGGTTGTCCTTTACAACTCCCACTTATATCTGGACTTCAGCTTTGAGTTCCCAGAACCTTAGGTTTTAATTAGGAAAAAGGATAAAGTAATGACAGAAACTCAGGAATAGAACTATCACAGCATGTGGATCCCAAAGAGGCAAAGTCATAAGCAGGAGAAACCAAGCTTATCATCTTGCCACATGTCTTAATTTCTAAGGGTCTATAGAGGTCATATACTAAGACAACTCCATGGAGAAATCACTGGAAGGCAGGGGAGAATAAGGGAGGTGCTCAGCGTACTGCATGTCTGGCACCTTAAAAATGCACCAAATATGAATACTCAGTAAGAACCACATAGGATATGCTCTGATCGCACCTGTGAGTTGAATCTTCCTTGAATGGCTTTATGTGAAAGCTGAGTACAATTTAGATCTCCAGAACAGAACCTGTATTCTAGAGAATAGGCCCACCATTAATGCTGTTCCAGGTTCTACCTCAAAGAGAATCAACTGCCAAAAGATATATACTGAAGGGCCCAGAGGGAAGGGCACTCCAGCAGCGATGAGCTCCCTTGGTGCCCAGCACTTGGTCTCTAAATATACTGTCCAAAGAGAACAAGGGCTCTTTGGAGAAATGGCCGATTTCAGGACTGGGGCATGAAATAGTTTAACATGCCAGAAAGAACATGGTACAGGGTGATAAGACCATGTTGGCTAGTGTGAAGAAGCTCCAGTGGTCAAATATTGAACCATCTGGGCAAGAAAACCAACCGTGACATGAATAGATCATAATGCATAGAATAAAACACACACCCCTGAGTCCATATATATAAATAACTGAATAAGCACATAAATTACGGAGGGGAGAACTCTTCCTCACAAGGATTTCCAATCAATGAACGTAGAAAGAATAGAAGCAAAATAGTGTCTGGGCAGACACTATGGCAATAATTATTTCAAGGAAGAGGCAGCAACAGGTGTTGAAATGAGTGAGAGAAAGAATAAGCAGGACACTCACACTGTCTCACAGACTTAGGAGGCACTCCTAAACACAGTAATCAAGGCTCATGTCACCAGGATAGAGACAGATCTCATAGCACACTTTTGGCTCAGAAGGACAAGTCATTGCTTTGGAATTCTTGACAGAAATGCATTATGTAAATTGACCCATGACGCAACTGCTGGTAAACCTAACTGATGGATGTTCTACAAACAGGCCAGAGGCTGGGTGTCTTTAGAAGTACCAAGGTCATGAAAAAAGAGAGAATTTCCCCAGGTTGTAGGAGACTTATAATTTACAACAGTACCTAAGTGCAACAGGGTACTGACTAAGACCCCTGATGGGTAGGGGTGGAGACACCTCTGGGGCCCTGGAAAGGCCTGCAGTGAGTGAGCAGGATCCCTGCAAGGTTATCTCCCTGCTTCACTCATCACACTGTGGCCAAGCTAACAGTGGAAAACAGGGTAGAGGGCATGGGGGATTTGTACTCTTTTTGCACCTTTTAAAAAGTCTGAAATGAGGCTCGGCGCCTGTGGCTCAAGCGGCTAAGGCGCCAGCCACATACACCTAAGGTGGCGGGTTCGAATCCCCAGCCCGGGCCCGCCAAACAACAATGATGGCTGCAACCAAAAATATGGCCGGGCGTTGTGGCGGGCGCCTGTGGTCCCAGCTACTTGGGAGGCTAAGGCAGGAGACTCGCTTGAGCCCAGGAGTTGGAGGTTGCTGTGAGCTGTGATGCCACCGCACTCTACCCAGGGGGATAGCTTGAGGCTCTGTCTGAAAAAAAAAAAAAGTCTGAAATGTTTCAAAATGAAAAGTTAAAAAATAAAAATAAAAATAGGAAAATAAAATGAAAGCCTGTTCACTGTTTTAAAATGGAATAGCAGTAAACCATAAAAAGGCAAAGCTGTGTCTGAAACACCTTCCTTCAGAGTCCAGGTCAGATGCCATCTTCTCCCTATGCATCCTTCAGCCTTAGATGAGAACTGAGATAGAAATGAACGCAGCCCCTGTATCTCATTGCTTCATTTTATAACTTGGTAAGAAACCCAGAAAAGCCAACTGACTGTGGGGGCTGGGACTGGAAAATGAGTTTTGTGACTCTTGATCCCGTGTTGTTAGCTATGCTGTCCTCTGTGGTCTGGTGGCATCTGCAGCACCTGTCTTTTCACCATCCTGCTATCTTTCTCTAACAAGCCCAGGCCAGGCTTGGTGTTTCATGCCTGTAATCCAAGCACTCTGGGAGGCTAAGGTAGGAGGATCACTTGAGCTCAGTAGTTTGAGACTAGCGTGACCAAGAGTAAGACACCGAATCTACTAAAAATAGAAACAGATACCTGTAGCCCCAGCTACTCAGGAGGCTGAAGCAAGAGCATCACTTGAGCCCAGGAGTTTGAGGTTGCTATCATGTATTATGCCATGACACTCTATCTGGGGTAATAGTGAGACTCTGTCTAAAAAAAAAAAAAAACAACGACAACAATAAAACCCCCCCACAAAAACACAAGTGCAAAGCACAAGGGCTTCCCTATATTTCCTGAATGACCAGAGTGCCCTGTCCTTAGTTGTTAATAACAACCAAAAAATGGGCAAAGTTGATAAGAGAAAGCTACTGGGAGGTAAAGGGATAGAAACTGGCAGTACTTACAGGGAGGCATGCAGATGGTAAAAAGCCAAACTGCATCTGGAGATGGGGAAGCTGCAGGCAGGTACAGAGAAGAGGGTGTATTGCAATGCATGCAGAGGGAGACCCATGGACATGGTGAAAAGCACAGGACTCTGGTGGAGAGGATGTGAGATAGGAAATCAGGAGTGTACAGCAAAAACAAACACAGATAGATGGACAGACAAATGTAAGAAGGAAAAAAAGTCAGTGGCAGGCTTTGCACAGAAGGGTGTTCAGAGGCAGAACAGGCTCAAGTGTTTACCCCATTCCCCACCAACAGTAGGGACTGGACCCTGACCACAGGGAGAAGTGTGGACACATCATAACTTGAGGTGCAAATCTAAGCTTGTGCCCAGGACTGCCCTAAGTAGGACAGGGCCAGGAGGTGGCCCATGCTTGGGGGTAGCAGGCTGTGGCCAGATGGCAGAGACCCTTCCCATCCCTTCCAGCTATGAAAGTTGCTGAATTCCTACATCCTAACCTCTAACCTGGCACTAAGCCAGATTTCTGTCACTGGCAGCACAATTAAGTCAGATGTGTATGTGTGTCCAAAAAGCAGTGACCCTGATCAGCACCTACAGAAGTGATGCTCAGAGCAGAGGCTGGTGCTCAGCTCAGGTTCCTACAGCTCAAGATTTTAATGGTCACCCTGCCTTACCCTGACACATCAAGACTCACCAGAGTCCCCGTGTTATGCACACACACAAAATGACAGGAAGAAAGTACTTGTTGTCTCTCACACACACTTTGAAATACACAGTACCTATAGTGAAGAGCATTACAGATCAGAATAGCCAATTATTACCAATCAAGAATTTCAGGAGATCTCACAACAAACACCTACCTGGCCAAAAAACTAAAACAAGGTGGCCCAACAAGGAGAAAAGCCAACTCATCTGAAGACATACATGAAGCATCATGAACAAGGGGCTCTTCCTCTGCTCCTTTCAAAGGATAACCACAGCAGCCCCTGACCCAGGCAGCCAGGTCCATGGCTTACACATTTCTCATTTTGTGTGTCTACCCAACCACAGCAGTCTCCTCAGAAGGCAAAGGCTATACCCCAGAAGTGTTTCAGGCAAGAACCAGCCTGCTGATTCTGAAAAACATTTCAGGAACCTCAAGTCCTCTATGCCTAACAAACAGCTTGAAGATGGCACAACTTGGGGATCAATATATACAAAAAGAGCCTCTGTTTTATTTTAAAACTCTCAAAGAGAAGAAAAAGACACATTTGTATTTGTTTGAATGACTTCACATCTACTGAAACGAAATTTGTGCGTATTCTTTATTCTCTTCGGACAACCAGAGTCAAACCACACACTCATCAGTATTGTCCAACTAGGATGGCCGAAATTTTACCATCAGCCCCAGGAAGGGAGCAGCACAGCCATGAGAGTATCCTGCAATCCAGTTCACTGCCTGCATTACAAGTATCTCTTTCTCTAATCTCTCTATAAACATACCATGGTTTAAATTCCAAAGCCCTATTCCTTTCTTGAGCCTTCTGTTTCCCAGGTTCAGTAAGACTTTTGTATCACCTCAATTAATTAGATATTAAAAAAACAAGGCTTACTGACCAAGTAACCTACTTCTCAAACTATATGCTAAAGAAATATTCCAAAACATGGGATGTGCACAAAGATGTTCACTACAGCATCATTTATAACTACAGCATCTGGAAGGACCTCAGATTAATATAAAAATGGTTCAGTAGAGCCAGAGGATAAAGATTAAACCTGAGGGCCACTCGGAATCTGTTACAACTACTCACTTCTACCACTGCAAAGTCAGCCACAGACAATACATAAATCACTGGGTGTGGCTGGGTTCCAATAAAATTTTATTTACAAAAACTTACAGACCACAGTTTTGTCAACATCTGAAGCAGAGTATTTACGGCTATTAAAAAATACTGAGTGGGGCGGCGCCTGTGGCTCAGTGAGTAGGGTGCTGGCCCCATATACTGAGGGTGGCAGCTCCAGACAAACTGCAACAAAAAAAAATAGCCAGGTGTTGTGGCAGGCGCCTGTAGTCCCAGCTACTTGAGAGGCTGAGGCAAGAGAATCGCCTAAGCCCAAGAGCTGGAGGTTG